TATTACTTGATCAAGCTCAAGATCAATGGGAGAGAAGAAGTTAGGATCAACATCAACCATGGGGTTTGAAGAGTTGGATTGCTCCTTTTTCTCTTGTAAACTACATTTGTAAATGTTATTTTTTATTAACTTAATTCCATTGAAATTAGGGGCAGTCGTACACAGAGTGGGGCAAATTGGGGAACTTCCTAAGAAAATCCTTATATGTCCCTATCTCTCTTTTACGTTTACTTGCAAATTGTGAAAATGTTGATTGTGCATTAGATACATTTAGATAATCTCTTTATTTAATAATTCAAACTATTCTATTGAGTTTATTAAAATCTATGTGTTTGTAATTGGATTTACATATCAACAAAATAATTTAAAAAAAACTATTTTGAATCGATTACTCACAAAGTGTTCAACAAATTGCTCAAAATAGTTTCAGTGTAATATTTAATTGGAAATTGACTACTATTGCATTGTTTATATTTAAACGTAGTTGATGAAAGTATATTGATTGTTTTTCTCATCTTACATATTCATTATATTGGTTTAACGCATATACGGTCTTTTCGATAATGGTTCGGATAGACGATTGTCGATCCAGGTTTATTTCAGCGTGCCATAGTTAAACATTTTCAAAACAAAATTTAAATAAGAAAATTTCATTTGCAATCTATTCAATCTTACTCTAGACCATAGCCTATCGTCTAACAGACTCCAACAGTGGATGATATCTTAGTGATTAAAGCTTCATATGGTAATCATGTTGCTCAACTTTATTTGTAGTAGATCATTTAGAGAAGCATCGAATGACTCCAAATCCTCTCTAACGATGATTTCAAAATTAACTTTGTTAGATTTGGATTGAACTTTAATATCTCGACAAGGATAGCTTCTTGGTTCGACAGAAGCCTTACATATTCTAGTCAAAGTCTGTTCACATGTATGCTGTTGTCGAAGTCCAAATATGCTTTTTCTAAAGCATGTCGATTTGGGCCTTTGCTTGTAAGCCCAATTGTTTAAGTTAGTTTGTGGCTTAAGTTTTCTTAGTAGTCTATAAATAAATTAGTTATCTCATATTTTTGAGATAGGTTAATTATTGTTAGGAACTTGTAATCATTGTAACCCTAATTGATTAAGTGAATAGAAAAACAATTTTAATGATTCCTGTTCTTTCTTTTTCTTGTTCCCTATTTTCTTCCTTCATGAAATCCTATTTGGGTTTATTGTGTTTGTTCAATAAACTCAATCTTTCTCATAGTTGTGATTTGTTCTTGATGGCACTACGATAAACTAAGTTGGAGCGGTGAGCATGGAGAAGATGTCGTTAACGAAGTATGAGATTTAAAAGTTCACCATAGTGAACGATTTCAGACTATGGCGCTTGAATGTGAAATCCCTACTGGTTCAATAGGTTTTGTTATAAGCGTTGAAGGGAGTTGCAGCCATGGACGTTGTGTTAACAGATAAAGAAAAACGACTACGGTAGACAAATCCCACATCGACATCTTATCGAGTATTGGTTATAAGGTTCTCTGAGAGGTTTCCAAGGAAACGAAAGAATTGGAATTATGGACGAAACTTGAAAGTTTGTACATGCCCAAATCGATAGTCAATCATTTGACAAGAAGAAAGGTAAAAGTCAACAGAAGTCTTATGATGGTGATGTTTCTGTTATTCGATGTTATCACTATAAAAGAGGCGGGTCATACAAGAAAGTTATGTCATGAACGCCTAAAATATCATGAAGGAAAGGATAATGGCAACACAACCATTGTTCAAGATGATTTTCACTCATCTGATGTTCTTGTAATTTTAAGAAGTGACTTGAGTAGGGAGTGGATTATGGATTCAGGTTGCACTTGGAACATGACTCCAAACAAATATTTGTTTGAGGATCTATGTGATCAAGATGGTGGGTCGGTGTTTCTGGGAAACAATAAAGCTTGCAAGATTGAAGGTATTGTATTTGTGAAATTCAAGCTCTATGATGAGTCAATAAGGTTGTTGACTAGTGTCAGGTATGTACCTGAACTGAAGAGAAATTTGATTTCTCTTGTTGAATTCGATAAGAAAGGATATGTTTTTAAAGGAGAGAAAAGTATTCTAAGAGTCATGAAGGGGTCGAATGAAGTCTTGAGAGGAGTGAGGAAACAGGCTTGTATACCCTTGAGACTGAGGTTGTAAATGGTTCAACAGATTTTGTATCCATGAAACCTTTGTCAAAGAGGGAAACTTAGCACATGATATTGGGCCATGTCAGTGAAAGGGGTCTGATCGAATTGCGGATACAAAATCTTCTCGGTGGAGACATGGTCGAAAAGCTGAAGTTTTGTGAACCCTATGTACTTGGAAAATCTTGTAGAGTGAAGTTCAATAAAGACAAACAAAGAACACATGGATCCCTTGATTACATCCATGTTGATCTTTGGGGTCATGCAAGATGTCCTTCAAATTCAGTTGCAAGGTATTTTATATTAATATTTGATGATTATTCCAGAAAGTTATGGGTGTTCATTCAGAAAGCTAATGATGAAACTTTTAAAAAATTTAAAAGCTGGAAGACTATGGTCGAAAATCATATTAGCAGAAAGGTCAATAGGTTGAGAACTGACAATGGCCTTGAATTTTGTAATGAGGCATTTCACAACTTTTGTGTTGCCTCTGGTATTGCAAGGCATAAAACTACTGTAGGTACTCCACAACTAAATGGTTTGGCTGAAAGGTTTAATCAAACCATTTTGGAAAGAGTAAGGTGTATGTTGGTAAGTGCGGGCTTGTTGAAGGTGTTTTGGGATGAAGTAATTATGACTGCAGCTTACCTGATAAATATATGTCATTCGATTGTGTTAGGGGTGAAGACACTTGAAGAAGTTTAGTCGGGTCATCCATCAGATCTCTACAAACTAAGAGTATTTGACTGTGTAGCCTATACTCACATTAGTCTAGACGAGGTCAAACCTAGAGCTCGGAGATGCATGTTCATGGGGTACCCTAGGGAAGTCAAAGCTTATAGGCTATGGTACTTAGATCTAGGTCACTGGAGGTGTATCACAAGTTGATATATAGTTTTTAATAAAGATGAAATGGATTACAAGAAAACTAATGATGTTGGTTGAAGCGGAGAAATATCTGAAGAGATAGAACAGGTAGAGATTCTTGTTGAGGTGGAGCATAATGATGCTGAATTGCATAACCCATATGAAGTCGAAGAAGAAGCACAAGATGCTGAAGATATTGAGTAAGTAGAGAAAATTGTCGATGAATACCTTCTGACAAGAGACTGGTCCAGAAGAGTTATCAAGCCAGCTCAAAGACTTAGGTATGCAAATCTCATAGCTTATGCCTTAATATTTGCAAGTGAGGTTCTAGATGAAGAACCTAGAGACTATTAGGAAATTATGAGGAGTCAAAATAAGACTAAATGGTTGAAATCCATGAATGATGAGATGAAATCTCTTAATGATAATAACACTTGAGATCTGATCAAAAATCCTAAAGGGGTCTAGTTAGTCAGTTGTAAGTGGATTTTCAAGGTCAAGGAAGGAATTGAATGAGTGATGTCGAAGACATACAAGGCAAGATTGGTTTCTAGGGGGTTCACTCAGAAAGAAAGAACCAACTTCAATGATGTGTTTTCACATGTTATGAAGCACATATCCATTCGAATGTTGTTAGCCATGGTGGTGAAGTTCGACCTAGAACTTGAACATATGGATGAGAAGACTGCTTTATTATATGGTGATCTAGATGAAACAATTCTGATGAGGAAACCTGAAAGGTATGCATAAAAAAGGAAAGGAAGATTATATGTGCAACATGAATATATCTTTATATAGACTGAAACAATCTCCTCGACAATGGAATAGGATATTCGTCAGGTTCATGACGTACATAAGTTTCACTAGAAGTCAGCTCGACCATTGTGTTTACTTTAGATTTTGACATGGACATTCACTTGTTATTTTGTTGCTTTATGTGGATAAAGTTCTCATAGAAAGAAATATTGTCGAGGTGTAGCGGTAGAAATGTTGAGACTAAGTCATTGGATTAACTTAACTTGTATAGATTAAATAAAAATCGCCATCGCACTTTATTGTTTTCATAGGAAATGGGAAAAGAACGAATAAACCCAAAAAAGAGGGGGAGAATATAGGTACAAGGGTTGGTTATGGAAATAGAAGGTATTAGCACCCTAAACATCTACGGTACTCCGTAGGAACCTCTTTGAAAACCTGTGTATTTTGGCTATGAAAGGTGTGTACAAAATAAGATGGTGGAGATGAGAAAAGAAGTTTAGTTTAGGGTATTGATGGCATGAACCTATGGTATTGACAAAGGAATGGTTTTTCTGAAGAATGTTTAGTTTATGGTTTAAATTTTTTATGTGGTAGATTTGAATGATTAAGCATGTGTGACAATATCTTGAAGTTCTTGCTTTTGGTCCTAATTAGAATTTGATCCTAAAATAGTAAACATCTGAAGTAAATTATAATTGCAAACTTGATTTGTGTTAGTAGTTGATGCAAATCTTAGTTATTGTATCTGAAAGGTAGTGTTGAAAAGTGGTTGGCTGGTAGAACCACACAAACGATGTGCAGTTTTAACTACCATTTATAAACCTAATGGTTTATCAAGTTTGACCTTATTCATTGTCTTGAAGTTTTTTTTTATGTTTGGACTTTCAAGTGTAGTTGTTTCATCTGTGCAGATTTCTAATTAGTACTTTCTTTCAACAAAGTTCTTTGATGATGGGTAGAGGTCGAGGAAAAGGGAAGAAGCAATATACTATTATTGATGAACTTGTAACATGATGGTTTTATTTTTTCTGGTGATCAACCATTGAACATGATTGGTGTTATACATGTATTGACCCATTTATCAGTAATAAGTGGGGATTGAAGAAGTTATCTCATCTGTCCTTTTTCATATACAACAGTCTCAGAAATATGTAGAGCTACTTCTTGATTTGAAAGTGAGTTCCATAATTAGCAGTCTTAAAAAATCTTGTAATGAGACAGATGCGACCATTTTCCAGGTAACCTCAGTTTCGTACTTTTCACTTTGTTCAATCATGCTAAGTTCCTGGTTATTGTGTCAACAAACTCCTATTTCCTATGTCAAGCTATTAGATTGCAAGCATGGTTTAAATCAGAGTAGTGGTTATGCTGCAAATTTTAATAGCACAATTAAATGTGGACAAATTCACTTGATGTAGCCCTAGTTACAGTTGCGATATTGTCATTATTCAATGTTTGTAGAATCATGGTGTTGGCTATTACGATTGACTTAGAAGCAATGTTTGGACAGGTTTACTGTGAAAAGGTAATGTTTCCCCTTTATCCTTTTGTTTCTTTTGAATAATAATGTATTTCACATGTTCGATGAAAGCCCACAACAGTGTTGTTAGGGAGCTAATCTGAGGTATCGATATCAATTACCATAACTCATATCAGGTCTTGCTGTTCAGGACAAGGCTCCGATGAGCTTGGGTTTGTCTCATAGTCTATCCAGATATAAACTGAAGTTTAGTGCAGACAAGGTTTATATTCGTTTCACTGTGAAAATACGATAGTTTATGTTAATCACTTATGAAAATGTTTGTATATGGGTCCTTTTTTTGTTGCTTGATGCTTTTTGATTATTTGGATAACAACATTTTCCTGACATTGAGATGTTTTTTTATTAGGTGGACACCATGATCGTCCAGGCTATTGATTTACTGGATGAACTTGATAAATAGTTGAATACATGTTATCAATATGAGCTTTGGTACAACGTGTTGTCAAATTTTAGTAAAAAAATTAGTCTACGATGTGTTTTCAAATTTTCTGCAATATGAACTTAAAGTCAAAATTTCGCATGTAACGGATGTCTATAATGTGTTTTCAAATGTTCTGAAATATGAGCTTTGATACAACGTGTTGTCAAATGGAAACTATAGTAGTATTGTGATGCAGCGGACAAACTGTAGCTTGGCTGAAAATGATTAGGCTCTATACTTGTAGCTTACTGTTAGTATGCATTATCTTCACTTTTAATATGATAAATGTTATAATTTAATGATTATGAATTTAGATTATGTATTTTATTCTACCTTTTATAGGTTATATCATAATTTAGATTATGTAAGGGTCAGTATAATTCAAGACCAACCTCCCTTTTCAGGTATTATACAGAGACATAGAGATTCCTTGAAAAGGTTAAGTAGGCTTCTCATTTAAGGCTTATTTGTTAACATGATTGTATCAACAAGTAGGCTTTTCAGGTATTATAAATTTTTTCTCACTGTTGTCTTTGGATCAAAGAGAAAATATTGTGCAGAGGTTCCCAAACTTAGGTTCTGAATTTGAGTGAAAACTTTACTTGTTGCAGTCCAACTAAGTTTTTAATGAAAGTTATGCATTGCGTGCAGGTGGAGCCAACTTAGGGATCGTGGAACACGCCATTTGTATGTTGTAGATGCTGATAGAAATGCAGTGATGGCTTGAGCCTTCAAGTATGGTCTTATCGGAGGGAAGTTAAAATTAATTTCATACTAGGATTACTGTTTGTTACTCTTTGCCATCAAATCTATGTAAAATAAGCGGTTGAATTTGGGAATAAGTCTTTATGATGTTTATAATACGGTGGGAGAACTGATTTTTTGGTTTTGCGTTTTATTGCAAATGTTACAGATAGCAAGAGTCGCCACTGAATTTTCTTTTATCCAATAAAGGAATAGGTGAAAAGAACAAGAAAGACATTATGAAAAGGGAAGGTGTTAGCACCCTTTTCATCCGTAGTTATCTACGGGCTCTTAATCGCTAGCTTATTTTTGGAAATTCTTTCTGCTTGTGCATGTTTGAAATTATTTTGAAAATGCCTCAGTGCGGAAATTTTGTAATGATTCTCGTATCATTGAAAATGTATACAAAATGTTTGTTTTAAAAATATTTGTGAAAGAAAGTGTTGTTTTGTGAAGATATGTTTTGTTTTGAAAAGTTTGTGAGCAAGCGACTATGAGCGTTCTACCTACTCAAAAAAAATCTTTGTTCTTTTCTTCCTCCTTTAGATGGTGCTACCCTACCATTAGTTAGTAGAAAGCCCTATTGTTGAATGTGAGGGACAGATGCGGGTCATCATACAGTCATAGAAGGCAACTTGTAGGATGCTTTAGCAATTTTCGTAAGGGACTAAGATCGTTTACCGAAGGCAACATCGAAGGGTCATTGAGGGACTACGATATCTTAACCGAGGGTTTTTGCTAAAGCGTCCCATGTTCGAGGGACATGACTACTTTTTATCCAAGGCAACAAGTGAGGGTCACCCTAGAGGTGCGTGTGTGCAAAGTGATTGGTTTCAGTTTTTGTCTTGGATTTATGGTTATCTAGCGTTTTGTTTTAAATCTTGCCATACAAACCTATTAAACTAACAATAATAAGGAAAACCGTAAATTACAGAAATTAAATGTCCAACGCTATTACAACTCTTCAGGGACGGGGATTACAAACCATAAATGAGGAGAAGGTGAAGAAACCCTAATTATCTATTACATACCATTGATGGTTACAATATTGAAAACTAATGCGAATAAGTAAATGAGCGCGCGGAGATTGAAAAGAAAATATGTTTTTTAAAAAAACATAAAATATTTCTAAGCATTTAAGAAAATATTTTTGATGTTTTTCTTTTTGGTTTAGAAAGATATTTGAAGTGTGAAATAATAATTAAACCTAATTCTAATTAATTAATTAATTAGTTAATTAATAAATAAAAACAAACTATGATTAAGTTAATTAATTTTAATTATAAAAAATTAAATTAATTAATCAAGAAAACTAAATCTAATTTTTTTATGATTTTATTTTATTTTATTAAAGAAAAATGATTAGAAAAGAAAAATTTAATTAAAACAAAAAAGAAAGTAAAATGGGCCTGGGTGTGAACGAGTAAAATGGGTGTGAGAAAAAAGAAAAAATATAGGCTCAAACTGGACAAAGCCCAGGTCTGCGTTGGATCTGATGCAGAGGGTCTTTCAGGGTTCATGGTGGAAACACACGTTTGAGGAATTCACATCTGGCTTGATGAGATCTGATGGTCAAGACTAGAGATGCATGGTGCGTGCATTAGATTGCATGGCATGGGATCTGCAAGGAAAATGTTAGAAAATAAAATGCCAGAGGCAGGGATGGAACCCCTGCCCTGTCATACTAAAGCCTTACTCACACACACGCTTGCCACTAGGGTGTCAGTTTCATCCGGTTATGAAACAACACCCAGTAAATATAATATGAAACAAATTTTGAAAAAAATACAGATGGGGCCATGGCCATCTTCTTCTTCCTTATGACACATTTCCATGGCCAAACTCGTATTTCTTCCATCCTCCATCAATTTGACAAATATAAAATACCAAATTGCTCAGAATTTCACCATGATTTCAACCATGTAACTTATTAAAACTATCACTCAAAGATGAAAACGAACTTCCAGAAAGTACCAATTAAAACCATTACTGAATAATTCAATCAATCTATGAACATGGTTGATTTTAAGCAAAATTGAGGATTCAGATAGCTTTAGCAAGACAATATCTACATTTCTAATCACAAAATTGATGCTAAAGATGCTTATATGAGAGAATTCAGTTTTGAAAAACTTACCTCTTGAAGCAAAATACCAAAACTCGTATGAATGCTCCCAGGTGCAAGATGATGATCCAAATAGCTTTCTTGGACTTTACTGAGTGTGTTCCAACCCCTAGCTTGCTTTGAAACTTGCTGAATTCTCCTCCCTACCTCGATCTGCAAAACTCGGGTTTGAGAATGGAACATGGTGATAGAGGTGTTCCAGAAGTTGTTTGAGTGCTTAGGCAACATCTATATGATGTATAGATGATGTTTGGAGGATAAAAAGGTAAAACGCACGAGTGGATTGAGAATTGGCTTCTTAAGGCTCAAGATATGCACTAATGGAGTTTTCTTGGTGATTCTGAGTTTGAGAGTGTATAAGAGGTTTAGAGGGCTTGTCCATTCGTCCTTTAGAGTGCAGATGAGACTCCTATTTATAGGGAAAGCTCGGAGGTAATGATATTGTCAAGTTTGCAAGTGATAGTGTTTTGGTCTGGTTGAAATGGAACAACCAAGTTTGTGTTAAAACTATTGTTCCAATGCATAGTACAAAAGGGATCTGAAGTGGTTAAGAGCTTTAAACATGTTTCTTATTGCTTTAGTGGTTGAGTGTGATCAGAGGAAGCAATGTATGGGCTCAAGGAGTTGACATTTTGATTAAAGTTATCTTTACAAGAGTGGAAGTGTTAACTTTGTGCTAAAAATGGAATGATGCATTGGAAAAAGCTTCTAATCCTTGTGTAATGGCTCAAGATTTCATGGAATCTTCTGATTATGGATAGATTTAGGATTTTAGAGGCCTGCAAAGTGAGATCTCTAAGCATGGCATGAGGATTTAATCTTATGGCTCAAAATAATGACCTCTAATTCAAGCAAAAATGGCCAACTTCATCACTTCGAATCTCTCAGCTCAAAAATGATATATTTGTCTTCTTGGACATTTTGGAAATCTTGAATCAAGATCTACAACTTTTAGGTTTATCATTTTGGCTAATTCAAAAGGGGAACAGGTGAAAATTGGCCAAGAATTTGAGATAAAAAGCTGATCCAAAATATTTCTAAGTGTTGGGTAAAAATATCAGAACTTCATGGGCCCATATCTCTTAATCCAAGCACTTTTAGAGGATCATCCCACAGTAACAAAGTTGTAGAGTTCATTAATCCCTACAACTTTCTTGTTGAAAGTTTTCCTTGAATCAATTTGTATATTAGTGAAAAATGGCCATGAAGTAGTGACTTTGTTAAGAACAAAACACTTAGAAATTTTTCTAAGTGTTGGAAAATTCTCCAACTTTTGACTTTTGTTGACTTTTTCTTGATTTTTGTAATTCTTGATGATCAAACTTGATAATTTTGAATGTTTACATGATTCTTGATTTTTGAATTCCAATGTTTACCAAGAAGTCAAAGTTTGACTTTTGTGTGACTATTGAATTTTTATTCAATTGATTCAATTCTTCAGTTATCAATCACTTGTATTGTTGGAGATGTCTTGAGCCATGTAATTAGGTAAGATATTGTATTTGAGCCCTTGAGATAACTCTTTAAGCCATTAGGTCATGCACTAGGCCAAAAGTCAATGATCAGTCATCTTCAATCAAAACCCTAATTTGGAAATTTAGGACCTTTGATGATTTGAAGGCTTTCCTTGAGGAGTCATGATCAACCCTTGATAAAATGATGAATATCACCTCAAAATGTTTATGTTGACAAAAAATCTTGAATTTTGACTGTATGTTGACCATAGTTGATTTTTTACCCAATATTGTTGACTTTTAATCTTCTGAGCCATTGACTGAGCAAACATATGATGAAAGACTTGAAACTTGACATAAGAATTATTTAGGACCTATGATGAACCATGAAAGTCATTTGAGACCCTTGCAACCCCATCTTCTTTGAGAAGCACCAAACCCTAGTTGAAGACCCTTGCTTAGGAGGAGGTTTGACCAGTCAACTCTTGAGTGGCTTTGAGTATTTGAGACTTTTTGTGAGCATGTTTTGAAGAAAATGGGAGGGAAAATTTTGGGGTACAACAGCTGCCCCTGTTCAATCTTCTTAAACCTGAAGAGTCAGATTGGCATATCCGCCATTCGTGACTTAAAGGTAGAAGATGATTGAACACTTAAGT